TATTTCTATTGAGGAACTCTTATTCTCATATGCATTAGCCAGTTTCGTGATTCTAATTCACTTGAAGCAGAAAAAGCAGCTTAGTTATTAGCGGTCGGGATATCGATCTCTTTCTAATGGGCAAAGTAATCGTTGTGGATTATCTTGAAAAGAAATATTAGAGAAAGAAACATATCGTTGACTCGTACTACTGCGAGCTCACACTTTATCACTGTTATTTTACATACATTAAAATTTTCTAACTGTAAGTAGTATATTCCATAATTCTTAAGATATTTTCCTTCAGAATAAATTTCGTTCGTAAAAAAATCCCCAAGAACAAAAAACAAAGAATGAACTTTCGTACGAGAAATTTGTTAGTCGTACTACTTTATCGGGTTGTCGCGACGAAGAAGCTCCATTAGTATCAATCAAAAAGTTCAAATAAAGGATGGGTACGCTAATGGTAAACCAATCTCGAATAAATTTCACTGAGGTACTGAAACGTATTTTTCCACTACCGTGGACAGCGAGTCTGTCATATTTTTTTTAAAAAAGAAAAGAGAGAAATCTCTGTAGACCATTGTCTCCCGATTCTTATCAACTTTCGCAGAAAGACCTCTGGAAATCCCCGTCTTTTGCAAACCAAACTCGACCGTGCCCGTCCTGAATTCATCTGTAACGATCAATTATACTGTCTCACGTCCACGCAATTACGCGGTAATCCGGCGAGCCGCCTGTCCATCTTCGCAGCGCAGCATCTTTCGCAAGCCTGGAGCGTCCCGCGGATGCTGGAAGGAAAAGGGAACGCCACGAGCCTAACCGGGCGGTTTCATTTCCGAGGTACGACCGCGCATATAATGATTATTCAAATCGTCGCCGAGGGATGTTAGGATTCTCGGTATCGGGGGACCGTAGACAGCCAGGGGGATGAGTGGAAGAAGCGTCGAAGGGAGACGTGAAATCCAGCCTAGGAGAATCCGCTGATCTGCGGTGTGTGATCCAAGCCATTAGGCAAAGCCTCCCCCGAAAGCATCCTCGTTCGCTCTCTCCAGACCTCTCTTCCTCCGCTCCACCCCTTTGCTCAGCCCTTTCCAGTGTCTCGTCGACGCGCTAACTGAAAAGGGCCAACCACCACGTGTTCCATGGTTTTTGCATTACATGGTGCTTCCTTCTCGGACCTGCTAAGTCTGCACGCGCAATCCGTAGCACGCGCCTTTCCAACATTCATCCCCCTTCCTCCGCGACGACGCCTCTCAGTTATAACGCGCCGTATTCTGTCATCCTGTAATCTCCGCGCTGCCCCGTGGAGATTACCTTTTTTTATTTCTGCATCCGGTGTTGCTCCGGCGATCCTTCAGACTTCTTATTTCGTACTTTTTTAACGGAATTTAAGATAGTTTTAGATCAAAGGGTTTCGGTCTCGGAGGATTTAAGACCCTTTGGGATGAAGCGCCGGGGGAAGCAAATGGAGAAACCATTAAATATTCCGTTCGAGAAGACGATGACAAATTCTTTTAGTCAGACTTGCAATTAATATAACATTTCAGTTTCCGATGGTACTACTTGTTCTTTGAATATTAGACGGAATTTCAATTCGTTATAAGTAATCTCGCGCAATTCGC